AGGCAGCCCAGAGGATTTGCCACAATCGCTTTGGTACACAGATTGATGTTTGTAAAATCAGACACCTTGCATACAATTTGGTCTGATATTTATGCTCATTCAACATGGCAGTTCACTAACAGGTTATCTTTAAATTTACAGTCTACCAAAAGTCTACTGCTGAACATAGATTGTCTTATGGGGGGATATTTGCCATTAATAACCAATTTTTTTATTTTTAGTTATTAGATGAACGATACTTCTTCCTTATCTTACACCCATATTTGTATGCTTTTGTACTTATTATACAAGTAATATTTTTTACCTTAAAAGACATTAGTATAAATAAAACGGGTTGGGTTTACAATTCGGTCGCCTCAATTTGAAGATTCTGTTACTGTGGGGGGGCGTCAAGGGAGTTTATCTGAAGCACCTACACGCGAGTTTTGCTACCGGAGCAGCATCGAAGTATTTTTATTTATTTTTTGAAAATATTGGTAAACAACTAATTAATTAAATATTCTCACGTTTTTGACGTTTTATCTGTCAATGTCATATCGATATATAGTACTAAATCGATCTAGTGAATCGATATTTCACCCTAGAGAATCAAGATCAAATCTTTTCTGTTTTGTTAAGATTTACAAAATTATTTATAATTAGTTGAAAGTACCCCAACTCGTAAAGAATGACAGTTTTTCAATTTAATCATTCAATGTTATCTGAAACTTTAAAGAACTTGGGCTTAGTGAAATATTGTTAATAATTCTAAAATAATTACTTCTTGTCTGATATGTGATGTATTATTTATTTCTATTTAAATAAGTAGTGCCACAAAAATATTATGAGGGGAAACAATTGCATGCTAATATTTATAATTTTAAAAGACATTAAAACTATTTAGTGTTAGAAAGATTGAAATAAATAGAACAATAATAAATATTATTAATATTTAGAGTAGACACTGTAAAACTATAGTTCATTTTGTTAGTTGATAAAAAATAACTTTTTTCAGGTGGATCGTTTAGAACGAGTATGCAGTCCTTGCTGGCTGAGGGCTTCCAGAGCTGTATGGAGACAGAGACAACAAAATGAGAACAGGGATATTGAGCTACAATCCATGAATATAGAAGACATCGGTAACATCCCACAACCACCCCCTATACCTGCACCTGTAACCCCTGCCATTTCCAGAGCGGCATCAACAATTACTATGGCTAATTATAAGCGTGCTGCTTCTACTTCCCGTCACTGTATTTTTAAGTCATGTAATCATTCATCTAGATTTTTAATACCTAAACTACTTAAAGAGAGATTGCTGATAGATCACTCATTTTATGTGCCACTGTGCGCTCGTATTTGTGAATACCATTTAAATGAACCCCACAATGATTGGAATAATTTATTCACGAGTAGTAACTGTTCAGATTTTACTGCATCTCAGATAGACAACCTTTGTTCCTTACTTAAAAGTAGTGTTACTCAAAATTATAATATTTTAAATATCATTGAACATAATTCAATATTATGCAAATATTGGTTAGGATTTACCAAATACCAATTTGAACAGTTACTAGTTGAAATTCCATCTATCAGTGAAAGAGTTAAATCACCTAAAAAGAAGTCTAGCTATGTTCTTAGTGAAACTTCGTACAGGTGATAGCAATGAACGCATAGCTTCTCTATTTAATGTAGCTTCATCGACTGTGTTCAATCACTTAAATATTGTAAGTCAGTGCTTTGAAGAGCAATTCATCCAACTGCATTTAGGGACAAATACCTTATGCATTCAACAAGTTGCTCAATATAACTTGACAATACCAAATGGCTTGTTTGGTAATCCAGATATGGATCCTGAATTTATGCCAGCCATAGTAATATGTGATGGTACATACATTTATGTGCAAAAAAGTAGTAATTACTTATACCAGAAGCAAACATATAGTTTACATAAGTATCGTAACTTAGTTAAGCCATTTTTAATAGTGTGCTGTAATGGTTATATCCTTGATGTTTTTGGACCATATCCTGCAACAGAATCAGATGCTTCTATAATTCTTAGACTGTTCAACGATAGTAGTCCACTGCGAACCTATTTTAGAGAAAACGATGTATTTATTCTTGATAGAGGTTTTAGGGATGCAATTCCATTCTTGCAGCAATGTGGTTATAAGGCTTACATGCCTGAATCTAAACAAGCTGGTGAAATACAATTATCAACCATTGCTGCCAACAAGTCCAGATGTGTAACTTTGTGCAGGTGGGTGATTGAAATTGTAAATGGGAGATTTAAACGGGACTTCAAATTATTTCGTCAGGAATATTTTAATACTGCATCTACTCATCTCATGCTATACTTTAAAATTGCAGCTGCATTAATAAATCGATTTCATACGTTGATTCGTAATAATTTTCATGCTGTAGAGATATTGGCAATTGCTCAAGCCAAACTAAACACTCCAAATAATTTAGCCTCCTACGTAGAAATGCACAATTTAAATAGAGTGAGAGTGCGATTTGCCAGCATTAATGGTAATCTTCCAGAGCTGGATAGTTTTCCTCAACTGACATTCCAGGATCTCATTCTGTTTAGTCTAGGAATTTATCAAATTAAACAAGCTCGTAGTTATTACGGGGAGCATGTCAGGGCTTCTGGAGAATATAAAATCGAGGTATACCTGCAATCTGTCCATGATTTTGGTCCAAATAGTTATCTATTGCGAGGTAGGATACAATCAAGGCACACTAGTAAAAAAACTTATTACACTTATATACTAGTTGACACCAACCCATCAATTGCTAACACTAGGGCTGCTCTTACTGGGTACTGTTGCAACTGTTTGGTAGGCAGACGCACTGTTGGCTGCTGTGCACATGTCATGTCTGTTGTCTGGTTTCTATCTTGGGCACGGCATCGAGATGAGGTTGAACCACCTGCATCTTTTTTTAGATGATATATTACTTTCAAGTAATGATATTGAAAATGATGAATGATGATTATTAATCTTAATGCGTATTAATATTGTAATATAAATGATCATTTTTGCTATAGTTGCTTCACTTGTGGCAACCAAAGTTTTTTGTGGTATTCTATAGGAAGATGCTGCTCCCCATCTCCTAGTATTTTTATTTTATTCTGTCGACTTTAACGACACCATACGGGACGGAACGTGATGGCAATTCACGGAAGGCCTCTGTAATATTTTACATTATATCTTTAATTTAGGAGCCATATGTTCGGCAGTGGACTGTTGTAATGATGATGAATAATGATGACTAAAAATTGTAATTTTTGTTGCTTATTTGAACTATTTCTATTTTACTGTGTGCTTTATTATCTGTTATATATTATGTTATATGTGTAATTTATAAATAAACGCCGAGCAAAGTTGAATTTATTGCTTTGGCACCCTTTTTTATCTCTTTTAATTGACAATATCCTTCTGATTTCTAATAATATCGTAAACGGGCGAGACATTATATTTTAATGATGTATGGGATTTATACTTGCTAATAGATGAATACTTTAATGAACAAAGGGCCGGCACTGCACCTGTCTGCTGTGTTATTTTTAAAAGAGGACTCATAAAACACTGACGATTTTAACCATAATTAATGCAGTGATTATACATGATCTTTGGGACTTATTACATATCAATATCGTATCATAAATAGAAATGTTACCATCAAGTTATTTTGAAAAAATCTTTTAATATGATCTTTTGATATGAAAACACGAAAAATGTTTCTACCTATGTCCGTTAGAAACCATCCAAGCGATTTTGATGATATGTTTATGTGTGTTTGAACGGGTCTCTATATGATTCATATTCACATATGGACTCGGTAGGTGGCGCTGTTGTCGAAATCCAGAAATCACCTGTGCGAAGTCGGGGCGGATCGCTAATAATAAATACAATTAAACTATACCTGTGTGTTTGTTATCCTGGCACAAACAGTTCAAAACATCTTACTTCCTCACAATTTATCAGTGTGTAATAACAGATAAGCATGATATTACCTAGTCATTTTGGTATTTTAGAACCCAGTCATTTTAAGATGTATAATTAGGTATTTAATAATCAACCAAAGCATATTAAAAAAAGTCTTGACACCGGGCCTGTCTGTCTGTCTGCATAAATAGATCTGAATTATATGTCTGAATTATATAGACTATGTTGGAAATGATGATTTACCATCTATAAATACGGTTGCATTATAACTTGTTTTTTACACAGTCAGTTTAAAACATCTTTCTTACTATATAACGTGTGTTGGTAATATTGTAAATATAAATGGATATATTATACCTTAGTCATCTTGAATTTATTCATATTATTTTAACGGTAATTGGGAAGTACACTCACAATCAATATATGTAAAAAATTGTATCCATACCACATTTGTACACAGACAGGCACTATATTTTGCCGTAACTACTAAAAATATTGAAGTACCTGAAAATGCTGAATGTACCTACAACTTGGTTTTATATGAACTATTATTCAACAGTGCACTATTTTAACTTAAAATACCGGTAAAAACCACTATAAATAGCTTTTAGTTTATTTATAGGTTATTTTAAAATTCATATTTTAATTGTCAATTTCTCGATTTTCCGTCTAGATGTGGTAAAACTAATATTACTTTTGTAAACTATAAATTATAAGGAATAAATCGACATCCATTTCATTGCGTGACGCGAAAATTTGTGGTGGGCCCATTCTCCATACAAAAATTGATTGTCTCCTTTGGGATAATTTCAAATAAAATTAGGAGCCTTATTTACTTATAATTTAAGAAGCTACAGTGAAATGAAAGGAAATGAAATTTATTATTTATATATTATTATTTTTTGTTATTATAGCAATAATGTAATGTATATGTATGTTAATAAATAAACATTACATTATTGCTACAATAACGCTATATCATTATTTGTATATTTGAACTTAAGTTAAAAAATTTGGTTACTCTTTAAAAAATAACGCTCTATATAAATAATAAATATTTCTTTACAGAGTCGTGTGCGGGAGTGTCTCGTTAATCTCCTAACAACTTGTGGCCAAAGAGTGGGATTGCCTAAGAGTCCATCTGTAAGTATTCACCGGCACATTGTAGCAAAATTAAAACAATCAATGTTTATGTACACGTTACCGATTGCTGTATGGTAAACCGATTGTTCTATGTACAAAGCATGTATGTAATAGATTGTAATAATGTGCCTAAACAAGTACACATCATAACAGAGAATAATTTAAGTGAAATTTCTATCCATCGCTGCGTATAGGATGATTTAATAACCACTTTATGTTCTAAGGTAACTCGCAACATACTGTATAATTATGTCGCAATCGCTTTAACGCACACACAAACACTACGCTATAACGGTGCTCAATATAGAGAATAAATTTGATACCCATGTCACCAATATGTAATAACGTCACATGAAAAAATATCACGAGTATCGTGTCAAACACATTGCATTGTTATTTTTGTTGGGCTTTTAGCTTTTCATTGTTTGTTTTAGTGTTGGCGTAGTGCATTATTTGTTGACATTTGTCACTGATACGTACGTAAATTTGACTGATGTCTGCAATTGCATTTATTTAAAAAAATCATAGTTTTGTTGCTTCCGTCGCTTATTCAGAAACTAGCTAATGTTTAAAATTAAAACAGAAGTATAATATATTTGTGTAAAGAAAAGGGCAACGTTCTTATTTTGTGTGTCACCATAATACTTTAGAATAAAATAGTTATTTAATAAATAATACATTAGCACTGTTGTTAAGGCACAGAGAAAAGGTAAAAATCCATTAATTCATAATTTTATATCTGATGTGACTTTTTGAATGGGATTGTAAATGGAAAACCAGGAAATGCAGATATAAGTGTGTCTACATTATTTTATATTTGTATTTCCTGGTTTACCGATAGTGTCTTATATTTTTGTGCGTTTATTGGATTTTGCCATCGGTATTTATGTTACTAATATTGTTATCAAATTTAGATAAAGTTAATTAAAGTTTATAACATTTACCTATTCTCATAAAAATCTTGTTTATCATCTGATCTATAAAATTTGAAAAAGCTTCAAAGTAGATACTTAAAAATGATTTAGTCACTTAGTTCTGTGATTTGTGTAAAACATAACTAACCATTTTTGCTGATGACTACAGGTGATATTCAGTCAGAGTTCGGAGCTTCTAGAGCGGGAATCATCTATGGCGTCATCCCTAGAAGAAGTTTCTGGAACTCCCGGCAACGAGCCGTCTGGTGGAGCGCCGCCCACTGATCATTTTGGCGTCTTCAAGGACTTTGACTTCCTGGAATACGAAAGCGAGAGTATCGAAGTAAGGCATCATATACGTTTTACTTAGAATAATGTAATTGATGGTATTTTTTAGTAATTACGATGTTATTACGAAATTTTAGAATGTCTCCCAACCGCAATATATTTCAAAATTGATATTTTAATATTTATCTAGATATTGTTTTGATTAACTTCCTTCGTTTTAATTATTGGTAATAGTTTGTTACTAGCACCGGTTGGATCAATGCAATGACAAGTTTTCTGAGACGAAATATTGTGGTGCAAACTTTTAGAGATCTATAATAACAACAAAATATTTTTTTTAATCTAATAAGTTTATTGAAGTATATTGAATGAATAATGTTTTTTTTGAACATTTTATTTTATTCCGATGCAATTATTTGGTGCATATGTATTAGAAGTTTGTAATCTTTTTTTATGAGTGGTCATACTTATAAGTTTAAATAATAGTTTTTAGAACAAGTTGGTGGTTTATAATATCCCAGATGCGATTTCAGCTGTAATAATTATCACCGAGGGATTTCCGAAAGACATAGCATTTATCCAGTGATTGTCAATGTGCAGTATTCTCTATAAATATTTTGCTAAGTTCATGTATTGTTCACATATCGAACATCATTTCATATAGCCGAAATCATTTTAGAATCTACTAAAGAACGTCAATTTTGATATCATTTACTTAACGATGAGGATTTAAAATAAATTGCTTCATAAATATATCTCCATAAAAAATATCGTCGACTCACATTTCCGTGGGGATTCCCCCAAAAGCAATGTTTGCTTACGATCGTAGCCAGTTTTTTTTCTTCTGGGAAGGACTTAAACAAAAGAAACTGCAGATTTATAAGTCTAGTTTATAAGTCCCTGGACAAGCTTTGAACTTATTAAAGTCGGTTTTCTCAATATTACAAACAAACATACTGACATACAGTGTTAATGTTGTATTCATTAATAATGATACTGTTAACTTCCCACTTCGATTGTTTTCGTCGATATCTTGATTTATCCGTTGGTTATTTTGATAAAGTAATTCGTAATATTCCGACCCGCTTACATCGCCTGTATAAGTTTGTTATTATGCTACATGATAATTGTTATTGATTATTTTAGGGAGAGAGTTCGGACAACTTTAACTGGGGCGTACGAAGGCGGCTGCCTAGTGAGGAGAGGGGAGTGGCTGAACGGAGCCCACCAGCGCATCGGACAAGTAAACACGACGCACATCATACTGCCAAACCGGTACCTATTACCGCTTATAATTATTTTCTTACTCATTTAAGGGTGACAAATAATTTCGCAGTCAATTTATCGCAAGCGGATGCTGTGGCTCATGGACACACACACAACATCTATCATTAATAAAAATGCAAATGTGTAGTCATCCTGAGGACAAAGATCGAACGCCAAAATATTATAAAGTCGTTTACCGCGTGCTCGACGATGAAGGAAATAATCGGAAGAAAACTTGCATATCTATGAAATTTAAAAAAAAATTGACGAAGACGTATAGTCCGCTAACACGCATAGGTGCAGCGTGTCGGACATTTCCTTTTCCTAAAACCCTCTTAGGAATAACAGAAAGCCTTTGCCCAGTAGTGGGACCTATATAGGTTGTAACTATATAACGCGACACCCGCTCACGTTTAAACTCGTTCAAACAAAACAGTGCCAACTATAATAAGATAAGAGCTAAATCACAAAAATTGGCTAAATCCGAAAGAGCAATTAAACCAGGCATTAAAATTGTTCCTTTAACATTGTCTTTTATAGCTAGGTCACGAGGACTCATCAGACGAAGAAGCCGGTTGGGATGAAGCAAGTGGGTCACGAGGCGACGCCGATACCAGCGGTGGGCACGAATTAGCGCTTCGCCCACGAGCCCATTCTTTCTCGAGCGCGTCCAGCGGCGAACCAGACGGTAAGTTTCTACAGTCAAAAGGTTTTTCGTCACGTGTTTGGACTAAGCTTTGATATTTCATTCGTTATCTCGATATCAAAGGAGGATGGCCAAATTTCTATAGGAGCTGGACTTGACTTTTTTTTCACGTCCCAAAACAAACTATAGTTAGATTGGTTTGTTTTTATATTGTAAATACAATTACGTTTAAAAATAATATCTAAATGGCCACGATTTTTTATAATAACGTCAACAATATTTTTAAGGCTGAATCAATAAATACCTTTTACTTTATTTATTTATTGGCCACAACATTGGTAAGTCAAAATTACAATCAATTCAAATGATATAAGATTACATTAGATTATTAAATTTACAAATCAAAATACATCTACATTTACATTATTTTACATGTCACGCAAGTCAGAAAATGAACATTTCATATATTCTTCTATATTATAGAAAGCGTGATTCAAAAAGTATGTTTTTGTCACTTGTCGAAACGCGTTTAATGGAAGTCTTGTTATTTCTGAAGGTAATTTATTGTACATTTTGATTTTTAGCGAAAAGCCTTGCTTGGACGCTTTATCCGACTGCGACGTAGCCTAAAAGTGTAGTTAGCGATGAGTGAGGAGGGTAATTAGCGATCTCGTTTCCATTTATTTAGATTTCTCTAAAATAATTTTATTACCCAATAATAGAACATCTCTCAAAGCGCACCCTACATCTGTGCATCATACTTCTAGAGTTCGATGTCAAAAAAGACCGTCTGTCAAACCGTCTCGTGAAGTTGACCGTTTCGACAACAATTTATGACCGATAATTCAATAAAAACTACACCTACATATATTGCACTAGCTTGCACAGTATGTAGTGTAAAAAACAAGGATGGCGTAATTATTATCACACGAAGTCTTTCCTGACAGATTTCAAGACTTTTTTGTAGTTTGACCATTTCAATTCTAGCTGAAGAGAGTTAGTCGCTAGATAGCTACTGTCTTTCATTCAATACTAAAGTTGCATATGTATTGAAAAATCGAGTAATGTTAGGTTACGGGAGTAAATAAAGTGTAATGGTAGATGAAGTGTAGTAGTAGAATTTAGGAGTACTTTAATGAAACAAGTAGGCTACACAAAATTACTTTTTATTCATCATCCTCTTACAACTACAACATCAAGGAGTGATGCTGGCACTGGCGATATTGTCTGCTGATGCCTGCAAGCGTCATAACATGTGCACATCACCCAACTGTCCTGCGATTCGATACCCTCCGTGAAACCTGACATGTTCACTATAATAGGACCTTGCTTGTTGAATCTGATATGTTCCTAGGGTTCCTATGTAATATAACTTCATACACGTGGCTTAAAGCACGTTGCAGCGTTTGCTAAATAAAAATGTGTTGTGGAACCATACAATATTACACAATACAATAGGGCATCTCTCAAAGCGCACCCTACATCTGTCCTATAAATCCCAAACATAATGTATAATAAATATCACTGCGTTTATTATTATAAAAATCGTCGGCATTTTATAAGTCCTTTCTTAAAAATGACACAGCAAACAGGTGCAGTGCCCTTTGTTTATTAAAGTATTCATTACTACATACTTGTTCAGCCGTAAATGTTCTCAAACTATTTTAAGAATTGAACAACATATCCCAATCAGTACTAAATGTATGTTCTACAAAAATACGAGCATTTATTGGCAAGTAATATTTGTGTTTGCTGAGAGTTGTTGCTCTTAGAGGGTCATAAATTCTATGCAAATCTGTGTTCTGGCAACCAAAAAAAAAACACAAAAAAAAAACAAACACTATACTGTGGCAAACTAATCACCCTAGGTACTTCGTCATCTTGCTGATGGGTATTTGGTAGGCTTTGAGGTTCTTGGGGTTGAGGCTCTGGCTCCGGTACTGGCTCTGTCAGTTGCATATTATGTGTTGCAACTCTCTTGAGTCTCAGCCAAAAGGGATGACAAACATGGTCTGTTGAAGTTGCCTGAAATAACCATACAGCCTTCTCTTAATATAAATGTTTTGGCTCATTATTATTAAAACCGAGAAAACAGAAACATTTTTACAAAACAATATACAATTGCAGTGATGAAATTCACTATAACATTGATACCAAGAGAAAACAAATAAAAAGTACAAAATAAAAAGGTAATTATTACCTGCCGTGGGACAATTCTATTTTCAAGCTCAACATGTATTGCTTGTTGCAACTGAGATGGATTCTCTCACAGCAACATCACGTTTACGAGTCCTTATAGAACTTCCACAAAGTATGCAAACATGCTTGTGGCCACGGGAAGATGAGGCACCAGGTTCATTAGGTAACCCAGAGTTGACATGCTGTATTGCCAATTGCTGACAGGCATCACATACGTAATCTTCTTCAGTTATCTAAAATAAGGATTAGAGTTGTATTATGATGTATGATTGATTAGAGTTGTATTATAATGATGTATTGTTAGTGTAATAAAATAAGTAGGTATGTAAATACGTACTATTATTGAAGAATTCCACTCGCAGATCTTAGAAATTACTCTGGGGTCAAGCTCAAAAATGAGATGGTGGCGAAGTGTATCAATGCATATGTTACAATTAACTCATAGCAATCGTATATCATAGTTTCGTATAGCATACCGTAGTTTTCATGATGTCTCTCACAATTATCCAAGATGTGAAAAAATCAGTCCGTAAAACAATACCGAGATCAAAACAACAGAAGGAAATGGGTGGCCGCCGCGCTTGGTTTTTTCGGCCCCTTTTTTTTTTTTTTTTTTTATTTTTTTTTTAATTTTTTCCCTGATCGTTCCTACTGCTTCTTCGCTTTTTGGAACGCACAAACAATACTGGCGCGGATCGATGATCACAGATTAAGCGATGACAAATGACGTTCCGTTTTACATATGTAATTGAACAAAAAGTTTAGCTTACTATGACTTACATAATTATTTTTATGACAAGAATCCACTACATAATAAATCAGCATAGTAGTTGATTTGATGTCTACATACTAATTGAATTGAATTAAAATTAACAACTATTCATAAAAACGTGAATAATTATAGTCTGTGAATACCAAGTCCTTTCACACACGAAATGAATCGTCATTAGGTGCGTTCTGAAACTATTATTTGAAATAATTTTGAACAGTTACAAAAATAGAAAAAAATGGATAACTTTTTTTGTGGCCACTTAGAGGAGTATTTCTTGTGTGTTTTAAGACTTTAAACAATAAGCGTATTTTACATAAATATTTCATATTGGGACGCTATCATTTCGTTGTCTGGTACGATTTGGCCATCCTCCTTTAACACGGACAGCTTAATAGCTTTTGACAGCTCACGGTGTGTGAGGCTGGTTAAAGCTGTACGTGGATGCTTTTGTTTGGTAATATTAGAGTTGTTAATGAGCTCTCATTAAGAAAACTAAATAAATCATCATCAGTTATAAACTTCCCTCAGCTTGTAAATATATACTAGGCTACACATCTTTACACTAAACACTGGAACATATGGGTTGATGCAAATCTGTTTGGAAGCAGACATTAGAACGGTTTTTGTTTTTAAGTTTTTTTATTATTCTGTAAACCTGTCTTAACATGCTTGTTACAATTATAAATTGTTGTAGTAGATAAAGTATTAAGTTATTCATTTTTCTTTAGATTTCCTTTATGTAGGCACTCTTTATTGTAACAATTTAGAAAAATGTACATCATCCGCTTACTGGCAAGTGGACTATGTCCTCATTTGTCACCCCTATTCTATAAAAAAGAATAAATTACTTGACACAGTGCAGAGCACAACCGTTTAAAGTCCATAACCAAAGAAATAAAAACATTTTCACACGTTCAGTGGAGCGCGGCGACGTGACGCCGGTGCCGTGTGTGGCGACGAGCGTGACGTTGCGCGACGCGTGGCGATGCTCCGTCGGCGCGTTGTTGCGCCACGCGGCGCATCTCCCGCCACTGGCGCTAGTGCACCGCCTGCACACCGTGCTCAAGGTAACCATCTATCGCTTAATGTTAGTTTTTATATCTTTTTAAAAAGTTACCTCAACACTAGGAATTTCTCCTGTATCGTGGGGACAGTTTACACACAAACACTCACGCCTGTCACCCAGAGGGGTAGGCAGAGACTACAGACTTCCATTTAGCACGATCCTGACAAACCTCTCTCGCCTCTTCCACATCCATATACGTACGAGTCGGTTAAGGGTACTCTTAATTTGGCCCATTTTTAATATACACAGGCTGCACTAAAAGTATCGGGAATGGAATATTTCCACTGTTCCTGTCATATTAAAATCTTTTTAATTGAAAACTCCTTGGTTTTAAAAATCGAATACCATTTATTTATTTAAAAAAAGATTCTCGGTCTTCTCACAAGGTTTTGTCAAACTTGTTTAGTCGTTGAGAAAATGGAATTGACTCGAGAAAATTCAAGAGCGATGATTTATTATGACTTTCGAAGTGGTTTAACACAAAAACAGTGTGTTGAACGGATGATTTCTGAATTTGGTGATGAAGCCCCATCCAAAACCATAATTTATCGCTGGTTTGCTGAATTTCAACGTGGACGTGTCAAGCTCAGTGATGATCCCCGTCAAGGTCGTCCGAAAACTGCAGTCACCCAAGAAAACGTTGATGCTGTGCGTAAGCTGATTGAGGAAGATCGACGTGTGATATACCACGAAATTCAGGCAACTTTAGACATTGGCATGAGTCAAACACAAATAATCTTGCATGAATAATTAGGTGTAAAAAAGTTGTTTTCCCGATGGATACCGCATTCGTTCTGTGAAGAGCAAAAAGCGGCTCGCGTTACTTGGTGCGTCAGAACTCTTGAAACATTCCACGCAGGATCCTCAAATGCTGTATACAACATCGTATCAGGTGACGAATCCTGGATATACGCGTACGAACCCGAAACAAAAAACCAGTCACGAGTTTGGGTGTTCGAAAATGAGTTAAAGCCAACAAAAATTGTTCGTTCACGGAGTGTTGAAAAAAAAATGGTGGCCACGTTTGTCTCCAAAACCGGCCATGTTACGACTATTCTTCTTGAGGGACAAGGAACGGTTAATGCATAATGGTATGCTAGCATTTGTTTGCCACAGGTCGTTTCTAAACTCGTAAAGAGAACTGCAACCGCCGCATCATCCTCCATCACGACAATACGAATTCTCACACTGCACACAGAACAAAAGAGTTTTAGAGCAAGAAAACATAGAATTATTAGACCATCCGCCGTACAGCCTCGGCCTAAGCCCTAATGTTTCTATACTTTCCCTAAAATAAAGAATAAATTAAGTGGACAGAGATTTTCATCACCTGAAGAAGCTGTGGACGCCTACAAAACGGCCATTTTGGAGATCCCAACTTCCGAATGGAATGGTAGCTGCAATGATTGGTTCTGGTATGGAAAAAGTGTCAAATTTCGCGGAGAATACTTCGAAAAGCAATAAATACATTTTTAAATAATAATGTTGTGTCACTTCCTTGATTCCCGAAATTTTCAGTGCCGCCCTCGTATTGCCAATTACACAGACAGAGGACAGATTACATACTTAAATTTTAACCACATCCAGACCCGGAATAATTATTCGTAGGCCATACAAATACTTATTTCGTGCGGGATTTGAACTCGTGGCCTCCAGCGCTACAACTTGACAATTGTCGTCTGTAAACTCGACACAAAGCACTCTCTCTACTCTGGAGGAGTGCAGCAGAAGTGCGGTGGAAGAAAGGAGACAAAGCTCTCTTGAAGAACTAAAGACCGGTCCTCCTCCTGAACCTCGATTACGTGTTGTTTTCAAGAGTCATTACGAATCGTCACGCACGCAGACTCGACGACTTCCAGCCTCCTGAACAAGCCGGTTTCCTAAAAGTTTTAAGCACCACATACATACTTCCGGCAAATTGTACAGTGGACCTCTTGGGTCTAAAATATGTTACTTTGTCTTGCGTGTGTGAACAATGAGAAAGTTTTAGATTCCGTCGTAATTTGGGCAATGCTGAAGTTCCTTTCGCGGTACCAAGTTGTCAAGGTATAACGAAGGGTTGAAGTGTTTTTACAGTAGGGCTACGATTGCTATTCAATATATATTCGCAGTAGAACCAGAGTAACCGATAGAGTCCAACGGATTAATAAGCTGAAGTAGTATTGGGCTGAGCATATAGCTCGAAGAACCGACAACTGATAGGAAAGAGAGGTACTCGAGTGGCAGCCTCGTGCCGTTAGGCGAAGTTTGGGGTGGCCCACCACTAGATGGAGTGATGACCTGGTAAGATATGCAGATAGTCGATGAATGCAGGTAGCTTAGGACCGTGCCTTGAGAGAGGCCTATTTTCAGCTGTGATCCATATTCATCATCAACTTAATGATGATGAATATGGATCGAATCTGTGCGTCGTTCAAAAAGCACAAAAAAGGGATCAGCTGACATTACAGATCTCCAATTACGGTATGTATAGCTGTGAAAATCAGTTTGAGAAACTGGCGTATGCTATTTGAAACATTGCAATTGTTCTAATTGAACCTTGAAATATTCACATTAGCATTGCTGTAGGACTTTAGGCTATTGAACTTAACATTTACTTGATTTTAATCTAAATTTAAAACGCTATTAGAATAATTAATCAAATTTACTTTACAGAAACAATATAGAAAATAAATCATTGTATATATCCTGATTTCTTACATTTACGCTAATACCACACAATAAGTATAACTTTTACGGTATTTACCGCGTTTAATTTTAATTTACTTTAAATTATCGACATTTGCGGTTGCTTTAGTTTGCCCATTAACATGGGTGCTGTAAAGCAACAAAAACTTATCGGTTTGCAAGTAAAGAGATTTTAACATTTATAGTACTTTGATACTATAAATAATTATATCAAGTATTTAAATCTCCATGTTTACGTGTAACCAATGTCATATTAAATAGAAAATACATGGGGGCGTTCTGCAGGAGGTGACCAGCAAAACCGTGTCCGTGTGCGGCGAGGGAGCGCTCGGGAGTGGTACAGGGGGTGTAGGAGGTGTCGGTGGAGCAGGTGAATTGGCTGCGATAGTGGAGAGGCTTGCCGGTGAGGAGCCGCCATTGCTGTGGGTGGGTCCAGCAGCTGCTGATTGTGCTCGAGTTCGAGATGCAGTCCGATTCGCCGCCCTCGAGATCAACGAGCACCTCGAGACGTACTTCGATAGACGTGAACACGCGCTTGAGGTAATAAAATTATAACATATATGATTATATTGGACACATAGGGATAGGAAGGACATAATATGTAATGGCAGAAACGAGAGAAGGCCTGTGCCCAGCTGTGGGACGTATATAGGAGACTAACTTTAAGATGTAATGTTGCCAACCTTACTATATATTATAGTAGGGTATAGTATTGGTATGAATACTTTGATTCTTAAAAACTATACAGACGAACTAAACGATTAATATTGATGAAATTAGAATAAAGCGTGAGGCTATTAATGAATGAATAAATGAATGTCCTCCAGACCGAATTTCGGCCACGGCGGCCAGCCTCAACGGCTAGCCTTCGGCGCAGGACAGGATTATAGTGCCCAAGTGTATGCGCAAGCACAGGTGCACTCTCTATTTCCTCATTTTCATAGTCCGATAGGACGGTAAACCGACACGACCGGAGAGAGATCAGGCGCAGGTCCAACGGCTTTACTCGCTTTCCTAGGTACGGGGTGACACACCGTCAACTAAAGCCTATTAACAATAATAGTTCAAAGCAGCAAAAAAAGAAACATATGTTTTGTATCTTTTCTCCATCTACTATACTTTTCAGGTAATAGCTTCGCAAATACTATACGTTGATATATAAAAAAAAGTTGTCAATCCTACCTCGACATGACTATCTTCTATTATAAGTACTATTTATAAAACCAGATATCTCTCACCTACAACTTTACTAACCTCTCTGATCAGGACATCTCACATCTAGTTTCTGAGACCCTCAGATCTTTCTGGCCTTTTTACACGCAGTAATTACCCAGGCCTCCCCCAAAGACGAAAAATTTAATAATTTTACTTTTCTATTTTTAAGATGCTGGAGTTGTCACGCAGTGGAGAAGAAACTACTCGCAGTTTGTACAAGCTCATCTTTCAGCTTCTTCTCTTGTTAGAGACCAATAACAAAATGGTGGTTGCCGTATATCACGCCGCACTCGATAATAGGGTGAGTTTTTGAGATCTCATAAGCGTACATTTATAAAAAAAAAATATCTAGCATAAATATTTTTACCGGTCTATATAGAACTAAAGAATTCGTAAAGAAATCTATTGGGAATTTTAGATTTTTTTATTAATTTCGTATAGACTACAGCATATACTCCGTTACCGTTAGTCTATCAAGAGTACTGCTGAACGAAGACATTTCCCATAAATTGTCTCATAGGAGGGATGTTGGCCGTAGTTGCTACGTCAGACAAGTGTGAGTTAGCAACCACATTTTTTTTTAGTCGTTTTATTAGGAAGTACGCTGCTGCCCATTTCCCGGTTGGTCTCCCTTTGTGGCCTTATGACACCTACAGGAAGCGACAAAAATATTATTCAAAGTGGCGACCATTATTTTTTACCTTGTTTCCATTATTTAACTCATCGGTATCGTGTCGACAAAGAAGCAAACAGACATTTATATGACACTGTCAATTCTAAGCTCTATTTCAAATTTTAAGTTTTTAGGTCATTGGGAAGTTAGCTTAAAGCAGTGATGCACAGACTTATTAAGACTAGGGGCCACTCGGGCAAATTATGAACCGATGGCGGGCCGCCAGAAGTATAGGTAATTATGAACTGATGGCGGGCCGTCAGAAGTATAGGTAATTATGAATTGATGGCGGGCCGCCAGAAGTATAGGTAATTATGAACTGATGGCGGGCCGCCAGAAGTATAGGTAATTATGAACTGTTGGCGGGCCGCCAGAAGTATATGTAATTATGAACTGATGGCGGGCCGCCAGAAGTATAGGTAATTATGAACTGATGGCGGGCCGCCAGAAGTATAGGTAATTATGAATTGATGGCGGGCCGCCAGAAGTATAGGTAATTATGAACTGATGGCGAGCCGCCAGAAGTATAGGTAATTATGAACTGATGGCGGGCCGCCAGAAGTATATGTAATTATGAACTGATGGCGGGCCGCCAGAAGTATAGGTAATTATGAACCGATGGCGGGCCGCCAGAAGTATAGGTAATTATGAACTGATGGCGGGCCGCCAGAAGTATAGGTAATTATGAACTGATGGCGGGCCGCCAGAAGTATATGTAATTATGAACTGATGGCGGGCCGCCAGAAGTATAGGTAATTATGAACTGATGGCGGGCCGCCAGAAGTATAGGTAATTATGAACTGATGGCGGGCCGCCAGAAGTATAGGTAATTATGAACTAATGGCGGGCCGCCAGAAGTATAGGTAATTATGAACCGATGGCGGGCCGCCAGAAGTATAGGTAATTATGAACTGATGGCGGGCCGCCAGAAGTATAGGTAATTATGAACTGATGGCGGGCCGCCAGAAGTATATGTAATTATGAACTAATGGCGGGCCGCCAGAAGTATAGGTAATTATGAACTGATGGCGGGCCGCCAGAAGCATAGGTAATTAAAGACAATAAAGAATTGATAATAATGTATTAAAATTGAAAAAGAATTTATTCATTTGAAGCGTGGCACTGCATAGTGCTTACAATCTTTTTTATATTTGGCTCAAACTTACTTGTAGCAACACGTAAAACTTTTCCTTCCAAACTTTCATTTGCAAGGCGGTTTCGATTTTTTGTTTTATTATTATTTAGTACTGAAAAGGTTTGTTCACATATATAGGTAGAACTACATAAGCTGGCATATTTCAGAGCGTTTATGCGCAACTCTTTATACGTATTTGTATCAATGCAGCGGTAAAAGTTCAGAAAGTCTCCTTCGTTGAATTTGTTGCGTAAATCTTGGTCGTTTCGAATGTCGATAATTTCTAACTGCATTGACTCTGGCGCATTTTCAACTGAAATCGTGAAAGGATTGCTGAATATGTCCAACAGAGGTTTCACTTTTTTAAACTCTGAAAATCTGTCTTGGAAAGATTGAATCAAAATATCTAGCTTTTCTACGTAATTGAAATTGAATCGCAGTTTTGTTCAATTTTTCAGCCATTTTCTTATAATTCGGAAAATGATTGTAATTTCCAGAATTCAATTGCGATCTGAAAAGTGTCAGCTTGCATTGAAAGGATGATACATGAGCGTAGAGCTGGGATATCAGTTGATTTTTGCCTTGAAGCCGTGTGTTCAAGACATTCAAGTGATTTGTAATATCAACTAAAAAAGCCAAATCACACAACCAATCAGGATTTTTAAGTTCCGGGACATCCCTTTGCTTTTCCGTCAGAAATATTCCAATTTCTTCTATTAAATTTAGAAATCGTTCCAGTGTCAATCCACGACAGCCACCTTACTTCTGTATAATACATTAAATCTCCATATTCGCTTTCGATGTCATCAAGGAATCGTTTGAATTGCCTGTGATTGATTCCTGAAATTTACAGTTGAAACTACCACTTTCATGACATTTTGAAATTCAATTTTTTTAGAACAAAGGGCTTCTTGATGTATAATGCAGTGAAACTGCATGATATTTTCAGCGTTTATGTTTTTTTTCTTGCAGATGCTTTTTCAGCAAAGTAACTAGCCCAGAATTGACACCAATCCTCGTAGGAGCACCGTCAGTTGCAACTCCCGATAATTTTGATAAGTCCAATTCAGTTTTTGAACACTCATCCAAAAGTAGATTGAGTATATTAACTCCTCTGGTTTGACCTTTCAATGAACATATTCCTAATAACTCTCCTAAGACTTCAAAATCTTAAGTAACAAACACCTCGTATGAATATCAGAAGTTGAGCTGTGGAACTAATATCAGTGGATTCGTCGAGTGCTAATGAAAATAAATTCATTGATATTAGTTTTTTCATTTAATTGTTCCGCAATATTACCTGACGAAGACATAATTCGTCTTTGGAGTAGTCATACGATTCAGTTGAATTTTCTCAAACTTTTTTGCTGCTTCTGGACACATTTTCTTAGCGGCAATTTCTATGCATTCTTTTACAAAATCCCTATCATTGAAGGGGCGACTTCGCTTTGCTATCATTCGAGAAATTTCATAACTAACTTCTGCAGCTGTTTCTGAATCTTGAATGGGTTTTGTAAACATAGCTTGCTGACCAATAAGCTCCCGTTTTAAAGATAACATTTTTTGCTTTCTTAATTCGCCTGTAAACTTGGTAAAAGTAGGATGCTGCGTTTCATAGTGCCTTTTTACATTATATTCCTTTGCAATCGCAACAGAATTCTTGCAAATTAAACAAACGACTTTGTTATGCGACCATACAAAAAAGTATTTCTCAGTCCAAATTTCTTGAAACTGCCGATTTTCATCATTAATCTTACGTTTTTTACTAGGTCCTGGCTTGTCCATGATGCGTTTTAATCCTGGCTAGGATTAACACAGCACCTAAAAACAATTATAGTACCTACTTAAATTACCCATCCTTTTTTAAATTACCAAAAATAATTGATTAAATAGGTAGGGAAACACTTATTAATAACAGAGTTTTACTTACGATTTCACAACATAATTATACACGACACTTAACGGGAAATCTACGTTGAATGTGGATCAAAATATATGACACCGGCTAGTCGAGTTAAAATCTACACTAGAACTATTGACACTTCACTCAAATTAAAACCGAACTGTCGGTCGATGCGGTTAACGTGGCTTTTATACCGCGCGTATAGAGCCGAAAACTGTCTGGAGAAATCACGAAACCGACTCTGGAAGCTTCGTGTATCTACCTACGCGGGCAATCGGGAATTCGGGACTATTGCTACCTCGCTTGCTCTAACAATATAACCCGTGGATAAGCCGCCATCGCGCTGCCGTCGCCGCCGCGCCGCCGGCCGCGGCGGTTCCTCAAGAAAACGAATTTAACCGAGATCAGCACGAACATTACCGACCGCTGTTACCGACGCACGCACGGCACACTTAAGAGCGCGCGCGCGAGATTCAAATTACTTTTCGAACATATTTTTTTTTTTGGTTTTATTCTGGAATATAATTCAATATTTTTCGAATGTACGAGAGTATTATTTTTGCTGTCGGCTGGCCACCAGTATTCGACCGGCGGGCCGCATGCGGCCCGCTGGTCGCGGTCTATGCATCTACGGCTTAAAGTTACAATTTGTATCGAACAGACAAGCAAGTGGGAAAACGAGTTAATAAAAAGTAAAATTACAACCACAATGATTTCTTATATTTACGCTAACACTACACATTTAAATAAAATAATTTTTTACAGATTACGGATCACGTTATAAATCGACACTATACTGGTGATTCGTTATATAGAATATGGCGCCAATTAATGTCGTTATTTGCATTCGCCAGTTTAATGGGAGCTGTGAGCATTTCGGAACATACCCAAAAGCGTGATAATGAAATAAAATCATCAAAATCGGATCAGAGTCGACGAACATTTTGCGTAAAATAGATACATACAAAAAACACATACAGTTAGAATTGCTAATCTTTCCATTTTATTGATGTCGGATAAAAACATGTTAAAAATGTACTACAGGGCGTGGAAATGAGTGGCGCAGTGTGCGCGGTTCGTAACGCACTGGCGGCGAGTGCGGCCGACTCGTGGGGCGAAGCGTGTGAGCAGTCGCCCGCGCCGCACGACGACGCGCGCCTCACCCACCTCATGCAGCGCCAGAGGTGAGCACACACATACACAAACATACACACATACGTGTTACTGCCATCACGAAAGGCCAAGTACTGCCCCTGTAGTTAAAGAATGGGATTGAAAGTGGCGCAGCCTCTATTCACCTCTTGCTCGTACTATACTCACATCCGCCGATAAAGTGCAAAAAAGAAATACGTTGCTATATGCGTTTTTCGTACGCTCTATAACTTCGGTCCAACTGGACTGGTGTCATTAAAAGCAATGATAACAAAATGCCATACACTACAAAAAAAATCAGTTCGGTTTTGCTAATTTGCGAGCTGCGACATTTTCTGAGAGTTTTCTTTATAATTATTGTTGATTTTGCGTGTTAATATTTTTGTAAAAAATATTTACATTCTACAGAGACATAAGTAGCCATTTTTATAATTTTCGTTGGTATATCTGTCCGAGCTGATCTTCGGAATTTTTGAACCGATTGCAATAAAACTTCCCGAACAAATAGAGAATAATACCAGGAGTGATCTAGATTAAGTTGTATCTCAAAAATTTAGAGACTATTCAAATAATATTGACCATTATATATACTAAAATAATTGATCTTCAATGAATAACTTGTCTAAATAACGTCACATTAATAGATCCCACACATGCGAAGCCAGAGCGGGGCTTTAGTTACAAATGTTATTTTAAAAATTATATACCTACTTGCGTATACAATTCTTTTCAAACATTTTTCCATTAATGGAAAATATCTAATTAACCGAATAATAAAACATTATAACGATATACCGTTATTAGCGGGTTTGCGACAATGGTACTTTGCATGTTGACGGTACGGGCTCGATGATGCGCCATTTCTAATCCCATTCTTCACCCGTACGGACTGTACACAAATTACACCACAGGCACGTAATCTATTCTACGCATAATACGCAATTAAAACAATGCACTGAATCAAGCGCAATGTACAGTGTTCTATAAATCACCATACACAGTGAACTAATCGTATCATATCGTATACATCATAGACGTTTATCCGCATGGTCGACATTACACACGATTAATGTATTAGACACATCAACGTTATTTTTTAGACGGCTCGAATAAGCGTATCACCGAGCTCGAATCCCGCACGGAACAAGTGTTTGCATAGCCTGCAAATAATTGTACCGAATCTAGTTCTTAGTCCATGTACAGTTTATATGTGCACAACGCCTTCATAATATAAGAGATAATCTTAGTGTTGGAGTAATGTTATTTAAAAATAAAGAAATACTTTCATAAACTATGATCTGAGCACTCCACACCATACATTTTGGGGTGAAATCTGCCATTTCAATTCATAAAAATTAATGATGTTAATAGATCAAAACTTCTAATATCATAACCCTAGGACGGAATATTCTAAAATCGACATTATATACATACCGAGCACGCCTAACCACACCTCACTGCCACATAGATAGTCTTAGAAGCCTAGCCTAATATCGTAGATACTAACTGAACAGTTCCCATCATAGATATTGCAACGAATATACTTATGGACAAATTTGAAAGAAAAATTTCACAGGACAGAAACATCTTTGTACTTAACATTTTATTATTATTTTCATAAATGCTTAGGAAAGGCTATTAACGTGGGCTATGACCAGTACTTCATGTTGCCCCCTCTAGCTCTTCGAACTGCTTCCAGTCTCCTTTGTATACTCCTAACCAAGTTATCAATATCTTGAGAAATAGCGTGCCATTCTTCCTGTAATACGTTTTTTACATCTCTCCGATTAATGGGAGTATGATTTCTTCCTCCTTACCATTATACATTATACAAGTTTTATGGAGTTTAGCGAGCGAGCGCGTTAGCCACACTATGTCATTGATTTCAACGTCTCGAGGGTATTTGACAACTATGGCTGCAGTATAGTAGCGTGTATTGTACATTGCAGTAACTGACCCTCCATCATATGCCTCTTTTCCAATGATGTTGCACTGAGCGTACTCTCTGTCCGGCGTCTCTTACTTACTCTTACACTTTAATCTTTCTACCATCTGGTTTCAGGCAAAATCTGAGGATAAAGATCTGACAAAAATTTAAGTAAATTAACATATTAACTTTGGTCTCCCAATACATTTATGAAACCATAATGTACGTACACAAAAATAAAAGTAGTTTCACAAAAATAAGTGATATTACTTTTGTAAATGCTAGGAACAGATACCGAGTCAGTAATTTATTATCGGGGCGATGTATACGCTTTTACAACAATATCCCAGAAAATGTATAAGATTTAACTGGTTCAAAGTTCAAAAACTTTATTAAACTTAGTTTGTATAAAAGAGTTATTATAATATTAAGGAATTTATGGATGATAATTACCCCTAGAAATGACGTGATGCCTACCAAGCTCCTTCTAATTTGTTTAGTGTTAATAAATTGTGTAGCATACATTATTGTAAGCTGTTATTTAAAAAAAAAGTCGCGCTGGTTTCTTGCTGGTTCTTCCCAAGACAGACAAACAAAAGAGTGACTTTCAGTAAGTATTATTTATAATCTATATTGAATAAACAAGTTTCTGTTTCTTGTTTTAGTGATAATGATGTGGAATGATCATTATGTTGGCTATGAATCATAACCACTGACCTCTATATATACAAGTACGCTGGACTGGCTATAAACCGTGACATGATGAAGCGACTTGATTTCCGCCGCAGAAGTGCACGTCCACGGAACTAATACTAGGAATAAGACAGTGTACCAAATTATATCGATAAAAATTCTATACCTTACCTATACCTAAATAAATAGAATGGACTCTATGGATAGATGGACTCTACTCTAGTTCCAGTATCATATTAATGAAATTATATGATACATAAATAGAATAACATAAAATTAATGCCATTATCATTCATCATCATTAAAACCCTTCACAAATCCACTGCTGAACATAGACCTCCCCCAAGGAATGCCACAAAGCACGGTCCTGAGCTACCTGCATCCATCAACTGCCTGCATGTCTTACCAGGTTTTGACTCCATCTAGTGGGGGAACGTCCTACACTTCACCTGCCAGTCCAAGCTGCCACTCGAGAACCTTTTTTCCCCATCGGTATTCGGTTCTTCGAGCTATATGGCCGGTCAATTGCCACTTCAGCTTACTAATCCATTGGGCGATGTCGGTCACTCTGGTTCTGCTGCAGATATCCTCATTCCTAAGTTTGAACCCCTGAGCATAGCCCTCTTCATAGCTCGTTGAGCGACTTCGAGCTTCCTCATACGGCCAGCAGCGAAAGACCTCGTCTCAGATCCATATATCATCACTGGCAACACGCATTGGTTGTACAATCTAGTTTTGAGGTATTCCTGACGAGAAGATGTGCTGTAATCTCTCGAACGCTGCCCAGCCAAGTTGAATCCATCGACCTGTCGGTCGAAGTTGAACTTACCTAGTCGTACTATTAGTCCCAATAAAAATACTCATCAACAACTTCTGCTAAGTGCTTCCAAAAACCACCGGCATAGGTGTGACATGTACACAACTTTTGTTTGTTCATGTTCATCTTAAGACATATCCGTTGGGAGACACTATTGAGATCATTGAACATAGTGCGTAAGTCCTCCAGCGATTGTGCCATAAGGACTATATTGTCGGCAAATCGAAGGTAACTGACGTACACGACATTGACGTTAATACCGTATCATTTCCAGTCCAGTAGGTTGAAAACGTTTTCCAACGCAGCGGTAAAGTATTTCGGGGATATTACGTTACCCTGCCTTACACATCTCTACAGTTGGATTAGTTCTGTACTTTGGTTCTGTACTCGCATAGCCATCATAGCCCTTAACCATTCAACAAAAAAATTATTTAGATTAAGTACACAAAATAAAAATAAAAACATAATTTCTAGAATAATTTATTGTCAACCGTTCATTTAGTTTTAGTATTATAAAAAAACAAATCAGCTGCTATAATAACGCCTATTCTAATCAACTACAGGTCTGTCTATAGACAGTAAAATATTTTTACTATATAAAAATTTATGTTTGTTCGTACTTTCTACGATGCCATACCGTTCATCAAATTGCGGTAAAACATAGTCAACTTATTGCTTGCACTTGTGCGAAGGTTATACGCATGGTACAATTAACTGACACGAGGTGGCGTGCCTATTATACTGACTATTTATTTGAAAGTTATAGAAAGTTATATATCATTATATTTCAATGATTGTATTAATCATTCCTAATTATACAATATAACTATTCCACATTTTTAACGATATTTCCACAATTACTTCTTCTGCGGCAGCAATGCGCAAGCTAGTAAGATAATATAAAAAAATATAAACTTTGAATTAAATAATTATCAGTTATTTACAACGTCATTTTCCAAATTAAAATTACAATATTAAAAAAAAACTGAAATTATTAATTACCGAGGCCGATATTTGAATGGAGGCTGGGAAAAACGAGCACTTGGAAGCATCAAGTGGTGCAGCCTCACCAAAATCGCGAAAGACATTCGAGTGGCGCATCGCCAATCGCCATACCGACACTCCTCTTCCCTTACGATTCCACCTCCACTACAGCGGTACATGGAGAGGAATCTCCTCTAGCCGCAGCTCACTAACACACATCCAACGTGGCTCGACATCATCAGGCGACCTTTCGACACTTGGCAATGGCCCTTGAGTTTGGTGGAAAATGAGGAAATAAGAAATAAAAAAACATTCGAAACAATAAATTTAATACGTAATACTTGGTAGTTGGTAGTGCTTGGTACTGTTACTACCGGAAAATATTGTCGGTATACTGCACTTTTTCAAAGTGGTGCAGTTCTCATGTCTAATAAAACAGTCGTCTGTGAAATGTTTGGAACAAATATGATCATTTTGTTTCGGACGCCAATTCACAATATTTATGATTTTAAGACATAATTTTAATCTAGGTTCAGTTGGAGACTTGTTAATAAACATTTGATAATCATCTGTTGTTGGTGACTTTGTTTGTTAACAGATAAGGGTAGGAAAGAACATCGATAAGTATTGTAGACAAGGAACTCGACAACCCTATTGAATTTTATTGTTTATCAAAACTCAGTAATATACAGCCAAAACATGTTGGTATATATGATATTAAGAATAGTAACAAATTTCCTCCCCTTTGGTAACGAGTTTTACAGATTACGCACCCTCTCATTATTAATAAAAATAATTCTTATTATGTAACTAATATTATACACAATCAAACAACATAAAATACCTTCGTTTTTTGTTTAAAAGTTCAAAATACAGACTTATTAAATATGACAATATGAACAAGACAACATACTTTGGCATATTATGTCAACTTTATTTTTCAAGACATCCTTTAGCGGCGCTTCAAATTGGCACAGTCATTTTGTATGGTATAGCCAGTCCAGCGTACTTGTAAATATAGAGGTCAGTGATCATAACCAATATAACGATAGATTTGATTTGTTGATTCTTAGCCAATGATTCTACAACCAAAATCTATCTTGTGGATTACTCGGTTTACTACATACGAAGGTTAATGAATATTATTCATGGAAAAAATGCTTGGTTCTATAATATTACTTATGTTATATTATTATGTTGTTCCATATTTATAGTATTAGAATATACTCATGGACAAATTTAGAGGAACGCAAAAAAAGGTTTAATTTCTCTTGTTGCAATTATTGTGTACTGGCCACAAACATTAGTAAATTATATAACATATAAACACTCACGCCTGTCACCCAGAGGGGTAGGCAGAGACTACAGACTTCCATTTAGCACGATCCTGACACACCTCTCTCGCCTCTTCCACATCCATATACCTACGCATACATGCTCGTCGGTTAAGGGTACTCTTAGTAAATTATGCTGCTAAAAAGATAGTTTTAGGATTTTTTTTTCGAATTTTATTTGCATTTTTGTAATTATTGCGTAATATTGAGTTCTTTCATACTGTGAAAAATTTTGCGTATTCGAGTTTAAATTAAGTTTTTGATAAATTTTTGTCTGTATGCCTTGTTTAGCGTATTAAATGTGAATAATTGTAACTGCTACTAATCTGAGAAAGCAGAGATAAACACTACTCAAGTTCCTAAAGCAGTTACTTTAATTAAAACTAGGCATGCACATCTACAAAAATGTGTTACAAATATTATGAGTATCAAAATATGTGGGACACCGAGTTGTCAAGAGGAATCGGCATACCGGACAGTACGCGATACTCGCAGGCCGGGGACATAAACGTGAAACTGGCCAGATATGACCAGTTAATCATTACCAGCGTGCTTAGAAACCGGACCTTAACTTTTTTGAGGTAAGAACGAAACTCCAAGAGGTTAGGTTACAGTAAGCAAAAAAAACTGTGAGAAAATACTAAAATCGACCGGAATAAATTCACATTGCCTGCCAGAGGTAGCTCTTCGTGCCTCGTGCCATCGAGTACCTCGAGTTAATTTGGTCGCAATAACGAAAATTGGAATGGCAAAGCTTGGAGTCCAGTATTAGTCCAGTACTATTCACAGATGAGACCAGATGTTAATTTCCTTAAAATTTTTGTTTCAGTGACTCTTTAGATTTTAAGCCTCTATACTCTTATGGCCTTCTTCTGTCAAACTTGCTAAGCTGTTTATATTGATCCGATTACATTATAAATAGTAAGCCGAAGGGTAAAAGCTTACTGGGTGCCTATTTATATAGGTTAATTTAAGCTGACCTTGCCTCTTTCGAGTTACAATTTACGTACGTATTAATAGGAGACACTATAAGTTTTCATAACGATAGGATTTTATTGATCGTACCCAAATTTTTATTCAAAATTTACTTTAGACCAACACAGCCGTAGCAGTACTCTCAATCTCTCTGTGGCAATGCTTATTTGAGATTTTGGTAGTGAGAAAACCGACTTCATATGGTACAAGCATCGCGCACGCAAACACACACACATTGTTGTGTGTGTGTGTGTGTGTGTGTGTGTGTGTGTGTGTGTGTGTGTGTGTGTGTGGCGCGCGTGTGTGTGTCTTGTGATAGCTCGTTTCTCTGCTATAACACTTATTTGAGCAATGTAAAATGCAGGGCTTGAAGAGATGTTAAATGTATTGAATGGCTGCAGGTGGGCTGCAGCTTTAGCACTTGTACGTGAGCGGAACGCCGAACGAATTCTGGAACGAGGCGAGCTGCCTGAAGACGATATCACAAGCCTTCTGCATGTCTACTGTAAAGGACTCGCACAGGCACATCCAGGTAAGTTATATAGCCACAAAAATGTTATCAGCCCCAAAGTCCACTGCTGGGAAAGTCTCTCCCATAGCCTGGAGCCATAATTTAAGGCCATAAATACTTTGGCTGAGGTTTTTCGATCATTGTACGAGACATCTGACACGACACATAATGACATTGGGTGCGTTTGGCAGAAAAAAGCGCTAGCAAGCGCTTATAAGCGCTAAAATAGTTTTCGGCCAGGACACGATTGCTACTTCAGTAGCGCTGACACAATCCGCCATTTTGCTTATTTAATTTGTTTGTTTTGAAGTAGAGTTTATAAGTTGTTTTGTGCAATATTAGTTTTAAGTAATATAATGACATGAATAAACATATACATGCTATTAAAAACTCATGATTGGTAAGTTTTTAATATGAATACTTTACAAACATATATTTAAATTAGGTTAGATTCCCCGGTTAAAACTAACATCGTGTCCTGGAGGAAAATAGCTACTTACGATTTGACAGCGCTTACCGCTTACGATCGCCATTTTGCTTACAAGCGCTTGCTAGCGCTTTTTTCTGCCAAACGCACCCATTGTTTCTTTTCGTTGCTCGTACATTTTACATCCGATATAAACATGAATTGGTTGTATACCGCCATCTATCGGAAGACAACAAAAGATGACAAATAGTAAATAGTATAGTATACAGGGTTATTTCGGATATAAGGGTCGATCGGAAAGCGAAAACGTTGTTGCCCATAAATCACATTCAATTTGCGATAATTTCAAATAAAAGTAGAAGCCTTATTTACTTGTATTTACATAGTATTTGTATAGTAAATATATTCCGTCCTTTAATTCTGGCATTATTATGTCAAACCTAATACTGCTGCGTTTCGTATGGTAAGTGTAGAGAACCGGAGAGCCGTTTTTACTGGAAACCAGGCATTTCATTTTAGTCCTCAGGAGTGACAACGCATCTGCGTTCTGATTCTCAATCGAGGATAAATGTAGATGTCTACGGGCAGTTACAGCGTCCACTTAGCACCAGGTGGAGTGTGTGCTCGTTTGTTCCCCTTATTCGATAAAAAAAGAGAGAGAAAGAGAGAACCGATATAATTACAGGCTGTGATGTGCGGCATTCCATCTTAGTCCTCAAGAGGTTACAATTTATTTGTTTTTACTATTTTCGTTTGACCTCTCGGAGAGGTCAATCGACGGATTCAGCTCGGCTGGGCAGCGTTCGGGAAATTACGACACATCTTCTCATCAGGTATACCTCAATCTTTGAAAACTAAAGTGTAAACCAGTGCGTGTTGCCAGTGATGACTTACGGATCTGAGACGTGGTCCTTTACCGCTGGCCGTATGAGGACGCTCAAGGTCGCTCAGCGAGCTATGGAGAGGGCTATGCTCGGAGTTTCACTGCGTGATAGATTCAGAAATGAGGATATCCGCAGTAAAACCAGAGTGACCGACATAGCCCAACGGATTAGTAAGCTGAAGTGGCAATGGGCCGGCCATATAGCTCGAAGAACCGATAACCGATGGGGAAAAAGGTTCGGGCAGCCTCGTACCGGTAGGCGTAGTGTAGGGCGACCCCCCACTAGATGGAGTGACGACCTGGTAAGACATGCAGGAAGTCGATGGATGCAGGTGGCTCAGGACCGCGCTTTGTGGCATACCTTGGGGGGAGGCCTATGTTCAGCAGTGGACTTGTGAGGGGCTGTAATGATGATGATGATGATGATGACTATTTTCATTCGAATTTGGTTGAAGGTATCTTTAATCTGCAGTAGCCATTTACCATCGAAGTTGGTTTAAGGTATCTTTAAACGAGTAGACTGTGGACTCTCAGGCTTTGTGTTTTATCCGTTTACATGTCACTTTTAAAAATTACATCACTTTACAATAATATTTATTTCAGACATGGTAGCTATCACGCGACCGGTAAACGAACTCTCTCAGAACCTGTCGTTCATGATGGAGAGCCTCTACAAGGCATCGGTGGCTCTCCAGCGTCAGGACTACTGATGCTCACTTCGCCGGAAATCTCGCGCAACCCAAAACCTTCGAAATCCTCGCATCACCGTTACTCACCGACGACGTATGCGTACGTAATGTACACGTCGAAACACGTTACTGCTTTCACGGAACGGACCAAAATGATGACGGATCGGAAATTTAACAATTAGTTGACGAAACATATATAATATACGTCAACATTCTAGATAGTTCTATGAAAAATTTTAAATGTATCCAAAGTGTGTAATAAATTATGAATCTTTAGAAAAAAATTCTTCTATTGTAATTATTGTTAGCAAAGATGCGATCTATTTGTACGCTTTAAATATAATAGAAATAGTTTTTTTTATTAACATAGATGCAAACAGCAGTAGCAAAATTAAACCGTTATTTTCATAAACAACGTACTAACGTACTTGTAGTTACTCATTTCATATTCGGCTTCATGTAACGCCAAATATAGAAAAATAGTAAAACTAATATGTTTAGTTTTATATACCTAGTCCGGCCATAAGTTCTGTTACAAATGAAAATGCATTTTTAATGAAGTAATGTAATATTACTAAAACTTATATATACATATTTATTAAAGTCTCAGCAAAAAAAGAAAAACAATATTCTAATCAATATGGCCACCTTTTTTACGGCTTTTATACAGGCATTTAATCTGTCTAGCCACGAATCTATGGAATTTACGCATTGTTTCCATGGGAAATTTTGCCACTGCTTGCTCCAGAGATTTTTAAGAGTCTAAATGTCGCCGTGTTGTAGAGGAAGCCATGTCCTCCAAAACTGACCATAATTTGTAGTCTAAAGGGTTGAGGTTTGGGCTAGATGAGGGCCAGTCTGCAGCTCTTATAAAGTCTGGAACGTTGGTTTCAAGCCAAGCTTGGGTAGTTTGTGCCTTGTGACCACGTACAGAGTCCTGCTGAAAAGTCCACGGTACATTTTTAAAAAGTGTGTTCCTGAAAGGTTTCACAACACGATCCAAGACTGTTTAAAAAGACAGTCTTGGATCGTGTTGTGAAAACGAAGAAGTTTTCACTCCTTTTTCACAAAGAACTAGCTTTCTGACGCCTTGATAAGATATGCCCAAACAATCCATCCACCAAACCATCACTGATGCAGGATGATGACCACGTTGTACTTTTCAGACTACTTAAGCGGCTTCTTTAGAGCTATGAGCGTACACTTAATCATTTAACTTATTGTTGCTTGTAGTGCTCTTCAATCGTGAAAATTTTTTCATCAGTAAAGAGGATATTTCTGTGCCCTTCACCTGCGTATCGCGACAGAAGGCGTTTTGATCGATCCACTCTCTTTAATTGTAAAGATTGATTTAGGGCATGTCCTGTATATCGACGATAAGCACCGAGCTTCAAGTTTTGTTTTATAATACACGACAGAATCCTAGCGGGAATCTTCATTTCTCGCGATAAGATTTTTTGCTTCCTAATGGGATTTCGACGAATTCTGGCTTTAACAGCATTAACAGACTTTGTAGTTCTAACAGCACGCGGCCGCCCCGATATTTTATGATCTTCGATAGAGGAAGTGTTGTTGTATCTGCTGATAGTACGATATACGAACATACGGCTTATACCAAGCTTTTGAAGTGTCTGGAATATGACCGACGGCTCCACACCCACTTTGTGCAAGGCGATCACCGCAATCCTATTTTATTTAACACCCCATTCCATATTGTAATTTGATAATGAACACGAAAACATTATAAACACAACAAATTCATAATAATTAAAAAATTGAAAAAAATATTTTTTTATGTAACAGTATATATGGCCAGACTAGTTAGATAGTCTGACTGAGACGCTGTCTCTTTTTATGTTTTTAGTTTCCTTATAAGTTGTCTTAAGTAGTGCTTGTCCCTAACCAGCTTTCAAAGTTCTCTCTTATTTACTAAATAGAAATATAAATTAAATACTCAGCACATAGTGTGATTAATTATTTAAATGTGAAACAATACAAAGACGAATGAACAAGAAATTTATAAACTGAAATAAAAACAATTCATCTCTTGTAGTATGTATGTTATAGTTCTCTTTTTTATGCTTGATCTTTTGTTAGAATTTGTAAAGCTTATTGACTTTATAAAATCCATTTTCTCTTATGAAACCACTTTCCGACTTTCTTGTTGAAGTGAATTCTTGCACATTTCTTGTTTTTTTTTAGTCCAAATGCACTATGTTTAAAGCTTTAAATTGATTATTCATATCTAAATTGACATCGGATATTTATAGCCCAACAATATTTTATTAGTATTATATATATATATATATATATATATATATATATATATATATATATATATATATATATATATTTGTGTGTGTGTGTGTGTGTGTATAATTTACTATGTAAAGTATATAATTCATTTTACCCTTGATGACGTACTTATGTTACATATGACATGAAAAAAAATAATATGGCGTAATAAGTTATATAAATATTTCATATATGGAAAGTATGCCTAACGAAATTAGAGTTCCTTATTTTATTTTCAGAAGTAGTAAACATTTTACTTCAGCTATTTTAACCATTAAATACGTAGAGAAATTTAGCGTTTTAATGAAACTAGTTAAAACGGGCTTTATCTGTTGTAGGTAACACATGTCTAATAACTGATCTCAGATAGGTACTTCGATACGCGCGGTTTTTACACAAATATTGCAAATGGCAAAATTGTTTAGATAATTGAAACTCACGTTTAAATTTTATCATTTCCTGACGCGACTTACATGACAGTGTATATGTTAAGTAATTTGTAAAAAACGCTTTTTGTTCTTTCGTTAGACGAATTATTAAATATAAACATTTTGATTGATTTGATTAGAAATGTTTAATCGAAGAGGATTTTTTGATCAATCAAAATTATGTAACAAACGAAGGAACTAAAAACTAAACACCTCTTCCAAGAAGTAACTTAGATCCAACTTATAAAATATGTATATTTAAAAAGATTGCGTTTAGTACATTAGAGTGCCGCGCGTGATAAGCCAAATAATTGATTTTTATGTATTGTGTTAGTGTTAACCCAGAGGGCATCATTGTATGATCGCTCCCGAATGCTTTTATTGCACGTTATTAATAGTAGTAACAACGTTCATTTATGACGTTTTAAAGGTACATTCTAATAGGTACGTTATTAACATTTTATATACGACTCTGGCTAAAACTACATTAAGTCTACACACTTGTCTGATACATTGTAAACGATTTCATTTGTATAATGTACTCCAATTAAAATTTCCATGTAGTTTATAAAAGTTCTGTTTGACTGCCTCGTTGATCTAGTAGTCTAGAATGCGACTGTTTTGAATCCTGGGCTGGGCCAGAATCAGTTATTGGGTGTTTATTTTAAGAAATTCTTAATATCAGCCCGGAATCAGGAAGTTGGCGGTGTTTCAACCCCGTGATCCTGCGCTTGATCTCTTTCCGGTTGGGTTGAATTGCCGTCGCTCTATGAGAGTGAGGGAATAGGGTATCTGGGTTTGCACATGCACTCATGCACCATAATCGTGTTTTACAGATGGCTAGTCTCCGTTTAGACTGGCCGCCATGATCCAAATTCAGTCCGAGGGACATTATTATTATAAGTATCTAAAGCTGACACCTTGAGATCAGCGTATGTGGACCCAATGTAGTTCTAGCTTCTAGCCTCATTATTATCTAATGCCGTAAGTTCACGGAGGTTTTTGTGTTAATAACCGCCACATAGCTAACTAGCTTTTAATATTCGGTTAATTTTCCTCAAATTTAATATAATTTAACCTTTAATGTTAATCACCCTTAACTCAACAACAACACAATTTAAATACAATTTAACGTAGAATTATGCGTCTTGAAAATATTCACTATCGATATAATCGTAATCAATTTATAAATGTTTTACTAAAACTCCTCCGTAAGCTTATTACCTTAGAAAATAATTAATTGAACAATTAATGCATAATCCTCAATTTTTATTAGTTTGTACTCAAGTATAGTTTGTGATATTATTTTCCCCTTTTTTGTAACTATTAATGACAATATTTATTTCTAGTATAATTTTTTGACTGTCGTGCATCGCGACCAAATGGCCGTGTCAACTTTAATGAAAATAGTGATTTTCAAATAGTTGCTAATATTTGTAATCAGTTGTATTAAATTTTAATTATGAATAAAGAATCACATTCAATGCTTTGTTTTATTTAACTTTAAATATAGGTTGCTGGTAGGTATATTTGACAGGAATGCGGAACCTTTTTACATAAACGTGTTAAATTACGTCAAAATAAAAAAAAAAACTGTGAGGCCTTCTCAAAAACTTCTCCGCGATCATGCGCGTGGAAAAGACTTGATCTGTATACCCCATTCCCTTCTAAATCCCGCTTGCACATCCCAAATTTTTTTCATCAGTTTCTTTCATAACTCTTTCAATTAGTACCTTAGCATACAGTTTTCCCACAATGCTAAGAAGGCTGATACCGCGGTAGTTTTTACAGTCCTACTGTGACCCTTTTCCCTTATATATTGGGACTATCACGGCTTTGCACCAGTCTCCCGGTACCCGCTTTAGTTCCCAACATAAAAACAAGGTGTACAGCAGGCCTGCCACCACGTCCTCTCCAGCCCTTAGCCTTCCCGCCGTTCTTATGCTCGTATTTTTGCATTGCACAACACAACAATGATAGAGATGTAACTCACTATTAAACATTAAAAAGTATCTTATTCTTTTGCAAAATCGGTAAAATTCGATGACTGTGACGTCACAAGTAGAGCAGCATGGCGGCTAGCGTTTTCTCGCGAAAATTTAAAACGATAGATTAAAAGTAATTTTTATGGCACTATTCGATTTACAAAAATTTATATAAAAATTATAGTGGTTCATCATCACTCTAGGATTCATTTAAAACGCTTTTTTTAAATAGGTGTAACGTCCTATCAGCCATCGCGTACGCGTTGGTTCACCATTCAGAGCTGCGATGTGAAGAAGTATAACACAGGAATGT